TGCCCACTTCAGAAACTAACCAGCCCCCCCTTCTATCTGAAAGAGGACATAACAGAGTGGTGCTGTCACATGACTTACCAATAAAAGGGTAAAAACTAGTCATTGTTTCTAATAAAAGTAAGTAAATGCCGTAATGGTCATCAGTCATATGTATTCTAATACCACAAAATGTACAAACATTTAGCTCCGAGCGAATGACACCGCAACCTGCCGACGCATGCGTGCCGCAATGTGGTAAAGTACACATTTTACTATGTATCAGCTCAATGTGCTGGTGTCAACCATCCCTAACAATCCACTTGGCTTCCTCTCTAGCTGGACCAGCAAAATGTTGCTCTGCACCGTTCCATTGATTCTGCAGCTTGCCAGGCCAGAGAGGGTAAGTAGTTGCCACACCCCGGTTATTCTGTCCACGTGTCCCAATCACCTGTGAGCAGGGACGGGCTCAGCTTTGGAATGGACCTGAGCTCTTCTGAACAAGGAAGTGTCATGGGCACTTCCACCCGATCAGCTGTGGGCTGGGCATTCCCCCGCCCTGCAACTGCTTGTAAACAAAGGGGCGGGATGCTTCTACTGACATCATTTACCCTATATGTCCACATAGCCATATTAGGTAAAGGTTACCAAATATAGGCATGTAGATAAATAAGGTCAATGATGTCACTGCATCCCACCACTTTGCTTACTTCAAGCCGTGGGCAGGAAATTCCCTGCTCTCAGCTGATTGGGCAGCACAAAAGGAGCTTCTTCCGGGCTCAGATAAGCTCAGGTTCTGACTAGGTTTGGAGGAGCTCAGGTTCAGACTGGGTTCCGAGGAGCTCAGGTTTGGTGAAGCTCAGACTCGGGCCAGGTTGGAGGAGCTCGGGTTCAGAGGAGCTCAGGTTCCGTGAAGCTCAGGCCAGGTTTGGAGGAGCTCAGGTTCAGACTGGGTTCTAAGGAGCTCAGGTTTGGTGAAGCTCAGGCTCGAACTGGGTTTGGAAGAGCTCAGGCTCGGACTGGGTTCAGAGGTGCTAAAGCTAGGACAGTATGGAGGAACTCAGGCTTGGACTTGGTTCACAACAGCTCACGTTTGGATTGAGTTTGGAGGAGTTCAGGTGTGGTTTAAGTTTGGAGGAGCTCGGGCTTGGACCAGGTTCGGAGGAGCTCGGGCTTGGACAAGGTTTGGAGGAGCTCGGGCTTGGACCAGGTTCGGAGGAGCTCGGGCTTGGACCAGGTTCGGAGGAGCTCGGGCTCAGAATGGGTTAGGAGGGGCTAAGGCTCAGACCAGGTTTGGAGTAGCTCCGGCTTGAACTGAGTTCATAAGAGCTCAGGCTCCGCTTGGAGGAGCTCAGGCTCAGGCCAGGTTTGGAGGAGCTCCGGCTTGGACCAAGTTCATAGGGGCTCAGGCTCGACCAGGTTTGGAGGAGCTACGGCTTGGACCGAGTTCATAAGAGCTCAGGCTCGGACCAGGTTTGGAGGAGCTCCGGCTTGGACCGAGTTCATAAGAGCTCGGGCTCGGACCAGGTTTGGAGGAGCTCCGGCTTGGACCGAGTTCATAAGAGCTCGGGCTCGGACCAGGTTTGGAGGAGCTCCGGCTTGGACCGAGTTCATAAGAGCTCAGGCTCGGACCAGGTTTGGAGGAGCTCCGGCTTGAACCGAGTTCATAAGAGCTCGGGGGTCGGACCAGGTTTGGAGAAGCTCGGGCTCGGACCAGGTTTGGAGGAGCTCTGGCTTGGACCGAGTTCATAAGAGCTCAGGCTCGGCTTGGGTTCGGAGTAGCTCAGGCTTGGACTAAAGGTATCCATGCATGTAGTGATATGTGATCGATCAAGATAGCAATGACCACAAACAAGCCGATCATCACAGAATGACGGTTTCCTTCTGCGTTTGATTGCAGTGATTGAAAATACGATCAATCGATCATAAATGTAAGCAATTAATCTGATCATATAATCAATCTGCATTTCCATTGGTTCTCTGAGACACTCACACAATTCATGGATCTCATTGGAGCACAAATGCGGTGACGTTACCAAGCTTGCCGTCCATCGATCACAAGCTCCTCCATCCCCATAACCAAGGCTTGTATAGACCTGGGACTGGAGGAATCGTCTGCAGGAACCTGAGCACTGCGCCCATCATCAGGGCCGGCCTTAGGGGTGTGCGAGCAGTGCGGCCGCAATCCACTCATCTCCGTTGCAATACTTTGCAGGCTCCAATGCAGAAATGTAATCCATGGACGCGTTTTCTTTCTGCACTATGGGCGCATTTATTTATTTTTTTGCAATAAGTGGAATGTTCCTTTAAATTAACCTAAACTAAGTGCAGCAGGTTTTACCAATTTACAGGTTAATGCATCGACTACACTATCTACAATATCACACTGTGTCATCTTTAGAACTCTGCACTCCGCCTGAGCCGCCATTATCCCTGTAAAACTGATCCAATGTACCAAAGTATAAACTTTTACAGGTTACATAAAACATTTGCATCCCAAGAGATATTTTAATTAAAAAAAAGCTAATGGTTTCATGATTATATTTGTGTATTGGTGGGGTGGGGGGCAATTGCACCGTTTGCCCCCTTATACTTCCGGTTCTGGCAAATTTTGCAGTTCAGCAGTCAGTTTCCTGTTGACATCCAGGGAAGTGACACTCAGATTAGGATTTAACAGAAGAATCGCTCCACGGGGCACTTTTGGCACAAAAAGTTGAACTTCAGATCTCCTCCCCTCCCCCCTCCCACCGCTGTCAGTCCGCCGAGAGCTGCGGGTGCAATGGAGATCAGCTTTGCCGGGCGCCGAGCTCTGGTCACCGGGGCAGGGAAGGGTGAGTTGGGGGTGCTGCAAGGAGAGGGGAGCCCGGTCCGAGCCGTGTATAACGTCTTGTCTCTGCAGGGATCGGCCGGGCCACGGTGAAGGCGCTGCGGACTGCCGGAGCAGCGGTGATCGCTGTGAGCCGCAGTCCAGAAGACCTGGAGAGCTTGGCCCGGGAGGTGAGCGCTACCACGCCGCCATCTAGTGGTCACATTGCGCTATTACAGCAGGCTGGGTTATGTAAGCAGATCGATACAGAACTTTTTTTGGGGGGGAAGATACAGTATAATTAATGATCTTCCAGTTAAATTAAAATCTGCTTTATTTTTAAATCTGCTTAATACATTCCAGGTGCATAAAGCAATGAAAGTCTTATACGGGCGATTAGCTTCTCGGTGGCGAAACTTCAGCCCCATTCAAACAGCTGCGGCCAGATTTGTACCTTGCCACCCACTGTTCAGACGTTTAGGGCATGGGGTAGGCAACCATGGCACTCCATAGGTGCAGAAGCCACGAATGCCTCATGTAGTTTCACAACAGCCGGGGTTGCCTACCCTTGGATTCTGGGCTCTGACCAGCCCTGGATGAAGTTTGCATCCAGGGACAGCATATAAACGGGTTAAGTTTGTATGGAGCCATAGCACAGAGTGCTATTGTGTCCAGAATTACCTACCTATGAGCGCAGCAGCCTATTTATTTATTACAGTCACCGACAATTTGTACAGCGCTTTACATAGTTGCACATTCACATCAGTCCCTGTCCTCAAGGAGCTTACAATCTAAGGTCCCTATCTCAGATGCATACACACAGGGCCAATTAACCTTCCAGCATGTCTTTGGCGTGTAGGAGGAAACCCACACAAGCACAGGCAGAACATGCAAACTCCTTGCAGATAGCATCCTGATTGGGATTCAAGCCAGGGACTCCCAGTGCTGGAAGGCAGAATCCCTACCCACTACGCCACTGTGCTGCCCCTTTTTGCACTTATTCTTCTCATTGAAGCCTTATAGTTCTTTTTTATAGAAAGCAGGAGTGTAGGCTAGTATTTTATTCTTTAACAATTTTAGGTTTGGATGCTGTAAATATGCCTGAGTAGAAAACCCTGCCCCTCGCCTGCATGCTGCAGAGAAGGGCCCTTTCTCTCTGTGTGGAAGCAGGGGTTTCTCTGCAGAGGTCCAACATTCCCCCTGCTGACTCAGACCTACAGCTCTTCAATAGTATAAGATTTGCTGATTGCAAAGCTATTGGTCTGACTCGGAGAGACTGCTGCTTCCACACAGAGGGCAAAGGTCCTTCTCTGCAGCATGCTGGCAGAGGACAGGCTTCTCTGCTCCGGATGTGGCTGCTTTATAAAGTAAACCAACTGTTAGGCTTTCAGCACCTTTTGTCTTGATGCGCCTGGAGCGCATTTAGCTGATTTAAAGGCGCATTTTAAACTATCTTATCTAACGTCAACTTCTCTAGCATCCAGCAGTATCCAGCAGTTTCCATTGGTGCAAGCTGTCCCCTAGTCCTTCTCTCTTAGGCACTTAGGTATTCTTATCACTCCTGCCTGTGGTTGCACGCACACCTCCTCACACCCAATGTAGGACGAATGGTCCTGCATTGAATGTGAAGATAACGAGGTACCGCCCAGAGCGTCAGGGAGAAAAGGGGAGTGCTGGAGCAGGGGGGTTAAGGTAAGAATACATACTCTACCCCTAGACTTAACGAGTGGGGGGGGGCACTGCCAATCTCGTAGTTGGTCTTTAATAGCTTTATAGTGATTTTTTTTTTTCTACTTTTGCAGTGTCCTGGAGTGGAGACGGTCTGTGTGGATCTGGGGGACTGGTCAGCGACCGAGGCTTCCATGAAATCAATCGGGCCGGTGGACCTTCTTGTGAATAACGCGGGAGTGGCTCTCCTGCAGCCGTGCCTTGACATCACGCAAGAAGCATTCGATAAGTATGAATTCATTCCCATCAGTAATCCATCTATCAGATTTCCACTTTCGTTTCTCTTAAAGTGTAACTCATCTACTCTTTTGTTGAAGTCGATATCTGTGCTTGAGTAGCCCACTAGCTGTTTTTTTTGGGGAGAGGGACACTCTTGTTAAACCTGCTTGGTAGTTCAGGACTGCATACTCAACATGGCCATTTCGAGGGGGTCTGTCTCATCCTCATGGTCAGATCTGATCTTGGATCTGATAGTTCCGTTTTTGGTTGCACCCAACGTGGTCATTTCGAGGGGATCTTACTTATCCTTATGGTCGGATCTGTTCATAGATCTGATAGTTCAGCTTTGGTTGCATCCAACATTTCAAGGGGGTCTTACTACTTTTGGACGGATCCAATCTTAGATCTGATAGTTCCGTTTTTGGTTGCACCCAACATGGCCATTTCGAGGGGATCTTACTTATCCTTATGGTCAGATCTGATAGTTCAGTTTTTGGTAGTTCAGGTCTGCATACCCATTATAGTCATTTTGATGGGGTCTTACTCATGCTTTTGGTCGTATCTCATCTTACATCTGATAGTTCAGTTCTTGGTTGCATACCCAACATGGCCGATCGGAGGGGTTCTTACTCATCATTTTGAACATTTTTATATATTTTGTTTTCCAGTATGGAGGAAGTGGCAGGGTGGGGGGTGAAGACACAAAGTTATGGAGCTTTTACAGCTGTAGTGCCCAGGACTCCTATATAATATAATGGAAATGGCACTTTTAGAGAGGAGTGATCCTTTAATTTGTCTGCCCCTGTACATTGCTATTACCATTTTTATACACTTACCTGACATTTGCTTTCTTGTTTAGGAGCTTTGCAGTGAACGTCAGAGCTCCAATTCTCGTATCTAAGGTAGGTCATCAATATGCTCGGCAGTGATCAGACACTTTGCCTGCTAGCACTGAATATCAGATATGAATATCAGAGTATCAGCAATCTCCCCTTCACCATCCAACCATGTACCGTGCTCTGCTAAATGTAATTAATTGCTGCTTTATAAACCAAGAACAATAAGGAATGGCAAGATATGTTCCCACCGCCCAGTGAAAGCAGCATGACTCCCCTGTGCTCCACTGATCCAATCTTTAGAGCTCCATACATGCTGAGATTGAAGCACAGCTGCTCCAGTACATTGTATCCTGTATCAGTCTTGTCATTCGTATAGCCAGCCTTACCCTTGACTTCTTTTTTTTTTTTCCGGTTAGATTGTGGCGCGTCAGATGGTTGAGCATGGGGTACCCGGTGCCATTGTCAACGTTTCAAGCCAGGCGTCTCAGGTGGCCTTACAAGATCATGCGGTATACTGTAAGCACTACAGGCCAATAAACCATTGAAATATACAGTATGTGATATGTGTGATCTGGTTGACATGCCAAAGGATTTGTTCTATTCTGTTTAGCCAATTTTGTGATCCAACACAGCCAGATCCCTGACCTCCCATGCAGCCGAGCAGTCCAGTTCAGTCAAGGACCAGCCCCAACCTTCTGATTTTCCAATGAAGGATTAGCAGCACATTGGTGAGGTCATTCCGGTGTTTACGCCTCTTAGTAACTTTAAACTGCACAGATTATTGGGGGGGACCCCCACATGGCCAGTGACCCCCACATGGCCAGTGACCCCCACATGGCCAGTGACTCTTATGAGAGGCACCACACTTAACTTACACTTCTCCTCCCCACCCCCAACCGTTTGACTGAACAGTGTAATGAGAAGCAGAACACTGATGAGCTCACCTCTCTGTCACTCTGCTCTCTCCTTCTTATCAACATGCTTCTTGTTCGGCTTCTCTCTACCTCTTTTTGAGCTCTGCTGTACAGTAGAGGCTGATACCAAGTCAAATTTGGTTTGCATTAAAAACAATGCATTTAATGATGTATTAATGATTACACATCTGGATCAATGAGTAACATTAAGATCAGCCTGAACATGAGGAGGGATCCAATCTCAACCAATGGTGTCATTGTTTTTTTTTTATTACTTAGGTGCGACAAAAGGAGCCCTTGACATGCTAACAAAAGTGATGGCGCTTGAACTGGGTCCAAAAAAGGTAGCGTGTCTTTGGTTTTTTTTAACCCCTATGTCCAGGTTAAATGTCTGGATTCCCTCCCCCGCCCCCCTGTGCTCTGGCTCCACCCACCGGCCACTATGTCACCACAGGACACAGTTATGGATAAAGTAGGGTCAGGGGTCCTAACCCTTTCTTTCCAATGACATCATCTGTAAAGGACATCCATTGATGCAGACTGGATGTAGACTTTGTCTGGTAGAAATGATTCAAACTCTAAATTGGACCTATAACTGCCCTGAAAGTGAATGTATTAGATGTATTGATGAATTAGGAATAATTGGGGGATAGATGTTAATATTTTAATCAGACAAAATACCCTTTTTTAGAAGTTTTTATACAGCGGTCATGTGACTTCTTTCTATACCTCTGCACCTCACTGTCCTATCATGGGGGCAGATCTCTTGCAGTGTGTGATGCGTCTTGCATACGCCACAGCAGGACGTTCACTTTCTTAATCCTGTGGCTGCAAGACGCTGATTGGCAGGAAGATGAAGAATGCTAATATGGGGCCCACTGTCACTCACAAGGCTGGAGCCGCCGCATGGGCAAAGGAAAAGTGGTCACATTGGGACAGTTGTCACTCACAATGCTGGAGCTCCCGTGCGGGCAGAGGAAGAGTGGTCATATAGGGACCAGTCACTCACAATGCTGGAGCTGCCCCTTGGACAGAAGATGAGTGATCATCTGGAGACCATTGTCACTCAATGCTGGAGCTGCCCCATGGACAGAGGATGAGTGGTCACCTGGAGACCATTGTCATTCACAATGCTGGAGCTGCCCCATGGACAGAGGATGAGTGGTCACCTGGAGACCATTGTCATTCACAATGCTGGAGCTGCCCCATGGACAGAGGATGAGTGGTCACCTGGAGACCATTGTCACTCACAATGCTGGAGCTGCCCCATGGACAGAAGAAGACTGGTTACCTGCAGAGGAATAGTAGTCACCTGGAGACCACTGTCATTCACAATGCTGGAGCTGCCCCATGGACAGAAGAGTGATCATCTGGAGACCACTATCACTCACAATGCTGGAGCTGCCCCATGGACAGAGGAAGAGTGGTCATATAGGGACCAGTCACTCACAATGCTGGAGCTGCCCCATGGACAGAGGAAGAGTGGTCATATAGGGACCAGTCACTCACAATGATGGAGCTGCCCCATGGACAGAGGAAGAGTGGTCATATAGGGACCAGTCACTCACAATGATGGAGCTGCCCCATGGACAGAAGAAGAGTGGTCACCTGGAGACCACTATCACTCATAATGCTGGAGCCACCCATGGACAGAAGAAGAGTGGTTACCTGCAGAGGTATAGTAGTCACCTGGAGACCACTGTCATTCACAATGCTGGAGCCTCCCCATGGGTAGGGGAAGAATTTCTTCATTCAGGATAGAAGAACTGGTGATGTACAATGAGAGTGACAACGCAGAAGTTAGAAGGTAAGGTGAAGAAGTGGCGTTGCCACTCTGGAGAAGGAGGGGGACATATCAGGATCAATCAGATATTTACCAAATAAGATCAGAGTTCTGCACAAAAATGTCCACCGCACAGCTGGAGGGATTAAATTAAGAGCCAATTACCCCCCCCCCCCCCCACAACAAAAACAAACAAAAA